AATCCTGAGACCACATTCTTCTTCATATAATCCAGGTTTTCTGACGATTGTTCAACATACAGATGAAATAAACATGGTGCGAGGACACAACCCCGTCGTCACACACCTTTCCTGGGATTAAACCATGTAGCATTCCCTTGTTCTGTTAGCAAAACTGTCTCTTGATCCACGTACAACTTCCCCATGAGCACAATAAAGTGTTCTGGAATTCCCATTCTTGTCAAGGTTACCCACAGTTTATTTTGTTCCACACAGTCCAATGCCTTTGCATAGTCAATACAATACAAATAAGCAGCTTTCTGGAATTCTCTTCTTTGAGCCAAGATCCATCTGACATCAGTAATAATCTATCCCTTGCTCCATTTCCTTTTTTGAATCTGGCCTACCCCTCTGCCAGCTGCTTGATCTCCAGAAAAATTTTGCATGTAATACCAATGGTATCATTCTTTAATTTGAACATTCTGTTGGGTTACCTTTCTTTGGGATGGGTACAAACATGGATCTCTTCCTGTCAGTTGGCCAGGTAGCTGTCTTTCAAATGTCTTGGCATAGATAAGTACGTGCTTCCAGTGCTCCATCAGCTTATTGAAACATTTCAATGGGTCTTCCATCAACTCCTGGAGCTTTGCTTTTGGTGAAGGCTTTCAGTGCAGCTTGAGCTTCTTCCTTCAGCACCAGTGGTTCTTACTCACACGCTGCCTCCTGAAATAGTGGAATACTGACTAGTTCTTTTTGGTATCGTGACTCTGTGCATTCTTTGCACCTCCTTTTGATGCTTCCAGCACCACCCACTATTTTGCCTATAGAGTCTGTCAATACTGCAACTCAAGGCTTGAATTTTTTTCTACTTTCTTTCAGTTTAAGATATACTGAGTGTGTTTTTCCATATTGGTTTTCTTTCTTTTTTTTCATGTTGGTTTTCTAACTCTAGGTCCTTGCACATTTCAGTGTAATACTTTACTTTGTGTGACTTTTTAGAAAATAATAATTTGATTTCTGCATGATATTTTTCTCACATTCTATCCGAGATCAATTACTGTGGCCCCTACTGAATGATCAGTGGCGGGAGCCAAGCTCCATCTAGATGACGCTGTGAGACATGTAGACTTATTTTTTTTCCTCTGTACTTTTGACTGCTTTCTTACTATTTTGCTTCTGGAGAGTGGAGACCTGTAGTTGTGTTTTAGATGGCCAGCTGCAAGCTTTGATGTTGTCAGACAGCATTCACTCCTCTAAGATGCAGATCGTGATTTTTGCAAACTTGTGTTATGCCAATGGACTGAGTTGTCTCTTGACACTGCTCCTGAGTTTTCCTATCCAGAACATCAGTCTTGGAAGATGTTTCTTCCATTCTTGTGTCTTTAATGAATATGTATCTGCACTCATGTATTTGTATTTATGTAATAAATAGTTCTGTCCTCAATGATGTATGCACCTATATCTACCCATAAACCATTGTGCCTGCGCCCCTTCAGTCAATGCTCATGGATACAGCAGTCAAGAAATCAACAACATATTGCACTGGGCAAATCTGCCGCACAAGACCTTTTTCCAGTGTTAAAGAGCAAAGACGTCAAGTTGAGGACTAAGGTGAGCCTGACCCAAGCCATGGCATTTTTCATCGCCTCATATGCAGGTGAAAGGTGGACAATGAGTAAGGAAGGGTGCGAGGAATGAGAGCATCGTGTGTTGTTGAAGAAGCCGGGAAGTTCTGCCAGAACACAGAACAAAACAAAAACCAAACT